AGTTTTAACTTTTTAAATAAGGTTTTCAGAAACAGTGAATTTTTCCTGTTTTAATTTTTAAAGTTATTTAACTTTGTGAGCTAATTAAATTACAAACTAAAGTGGAAAAAGTTACATCTTGAGCCGGGCTCGGTGGCTCAGCCCCTAATCCCGCGTCTTTGGGAGGCTGAGGTGAGTGGATTGCCTGAGCCCCCGAGTTCGACACCCACCTGGGCAACGAGACCTCAACTCTACAATAAATAAAAAAAAAAAATCAGCTGGGCATGGTAGCGCATGCCTGTAATTCAAGCTACTTGGAAAGGCTGAGGTGGAAGGATCGCCGGAGCCCAGCAGGTCGAGGCTGCGGTGGCCAGGAGCAGTCACTGCACTCCAGTCTGTGCGACAGAGTGAGACTCCAACTCAAAAAAAAAAAAAAGAATTTCACTGCTTTTTTACAACATTTTCTGTATTCTATGCATGTGCTTCTCCACTTGATTACATTAATTTTAATGGTTTCACTGCATGATACTTTGTTCCAATCTGAAACGGGATTCTGACCAGAATTTGTTCTCAACCCAGATTGTACTCACTCTTGGTTGCTCAGTGAGGCTGTCCTTCTGCGTTTGACTTGGACTTCTACCTCTGGCACGTGCTGTTCTGTAGTCCGTCTCAAATGTAAGCGATCCCTGAAACAGAAAAAGAATCATTTATTTTTTTGAGTAGTAGTCTCGCTCTGTCACCTAGGCTAGACTGCAGTAGCAGACTCATGGTCACCATAGCCTCAACCTGCTGGACTCAGGTGATCACTGCACCTCAGCCTTCCAAGTAGCTGGAACAACAGGCATCATGCCCAGCTAATTTTTTGGTTTACTGTAGAGACAATGTCTTGCCAAGTAGCCCACGCTGGTTTTGTATGCCTGGATTAAGACAATCCTCTTGCCTCTACCTCCCCAAAGTGCTAGGATTATAGGCGTGAGCCACTGCACCCAGCTAGAAAAAGAATCATTTAAAGAGTGACTTGTTTGGTAGACTTCATCAATCTATTAAACAACTATTTGCTCTAAGGTTACTTTTAGAATTATAGTATAATAGGCTTTAGAAAGCCGGGCTCGGTGGCTCAGCCTGTAATCTGCACTTTGGGAGACTGAGGTGAGTGAACTGCCTGAGCCTGCGAGTTCGAGACTCACCTGGGCAACTTGGCGAGACCTCATCTCTACAATAAATAAAAAATTAGCTGGGCGTGGTAGCGCACACCTGTAGTTCCAGCTACTTGGACAGCTGAGGCAGAAGGATCGCCTAAACCCAGCAGGTCGAGGCTGCAGTACCTGTGAGCGTGCCACAGCACTCCAGCCTAGGCAAGGAAGAGTGAGACTCCAACTCAAAAAACAAACAAATGAAACAACAACAAAAAAACCTCTTGAGCAAGTGCCACTTTCTTAAAGATCTGCAAAACAAAAGGAGGGTTTTTCTTGCCTATCAACATAGCAAAATAATAAAAAACACCGCCATGTAATGAGCTACATACCACCTCATAAAATGGCTGCTCAAGAGAGCTGAGCATGAAATTTCCCACAAGGGATGGCCATGCTAGGGACTGCAAAAACCACTCGTAAAACTAGAAAACTGTAAATCAGAAAAGACAGAAAAAGGGCCTTTTACTACAGTAATGGTAATAATAACTAAAAGATAAAATTCAAAGAACACATCCCAAAAGCTAATTATCAGAAACCTAGCTATTTAAAATATCATGTTAGATTTTAGATTAGTAAAACAGCTTTTCAAATAACCCAGTTGTCTTATTCCTTCTAGAATTTAAATGTTCTAATCAAGCCACCTAAATGATTTAAAAACCAAATATACATATATTAGATTTTAAAATAAAAGTGTATATATTGCTAATCTTTATGACCTTTGATTAGGCAATAGTCTACTCAAACACCTAAAGTACAAGCAGTATAAGCATAAGTTGGATTTCCTCAAAACTTTTAAAGGAAATCTTTGCTCCAAAGAAAGTAAAAAGATAACCAGAAGAACAGGAGAAAATATTTGCAAACCATATAGCTAAGAGTCTAGCATCCAACAACACAAGCAAACAAAAATTCCAAGCAACAACAACAAAAAGAAGTGGAAGAAACTTTTGGAAGTGATGGATTCATCTATGGCACTGATTGTGACAATGGTTTCTGAGGTGTATACTTATCTCCTAACATCAATTAGTAATAATAAATATCTACGGTTTTTTGTAAATCAACCATATCTTAACAGAGCATTTTTTTAAAAGTATTGTCTAGAATATATAAGGAATTCTTTTTTATTGATTTATTTTTTTTTTGAGTTGGAGTCTCACTCTGTCGCCCAGACTGGAGTGCAGTGGCCACTCCCGGCCACTGCAGCCTTGACCTGCTGGGCTCCGGAGATCCTTCCGCCTAAGCCTTCCAAGTAGCTGGAACTACAAGCGCGCGCTACCACACCCGGCTCATTTTTTAAATTTATTGTAGAGATGAGGTCTCGCCAAGTTGCCCTGGTAGTTCTCGAACCCGCGGGCTCAGGCAATCCACTCACCTCAGCCTCCCAAGGTGCTGGATTACAGGCTGAGCCACTGAGCCCGGCTTATAAGGAATTCTTACAACAATTTTTAAAAAGCCTGTTGCCAAAACAGGTAAAGTATTTGAAAAGACTGTCCTCCAAACATAACACAAATGATCAATCAGCACATTAAAAGATGCTCAACATTATTAGTCATTAGAGAAATGCAAATCAAAACCACATTGATACACCTGATATTACAAGAGTTGGGGAGGAAATACAGAAATTGTTAGTGAGAATATAAAATGGTACACACCTTTTGGCAACGTCCTACAAACATTAACCATGAAATTAATATATGACCCAGAAACTCCACTTACAGATGCAAGGATATTAAATAAAACACCTAAATGCATACATGTTCCTAGCACCATTATTCATAATAGCCAAAAAATGGGATCAGTTCAAATATCCGTCAACTTATGAAGGAATAAAAAAACATTATATGGTATGGTACTTTCATACAAAAGATTGATGTTAGGAGATAAGTATACACCTCAGAAACCATTGTTACAATCAGTGCCATAGATGAATCCATCACTTCCAAAAGTTTCTTCCACTTCTTTTTTGTAGTTGTTGCTTGGAATTTTTGTTTGCTTGTGTTATTGGATGCTAGATTCTTAGCTATATGGTTTGCCATAAAAAAGGAATAAAGTACTGATTCATGCTACAATATTATAGTGGGTACAAAAAATTATTAACATAACACAACAAAAATAACTATCTTCAATAAGATCATAATTCATCTAATAGTGTATAATTGTAAATACCCCATTACAAAAAAGACCTTAGTTCTTTTACCCTTTCAACAGTCGCTCAGTATGAAAGTCTGACAGTTGAGAAAATAGCTATCATATAAAATTATTCTTTTTAAGCTACATACAAAATAATCCGAATCTTATTTTAAAAATACTCAAGTTTTCTGAATGTTCTAGATACATGTTCATACACACATGTGCATTTATAATCTCCCTAACTGCATCAACTAAGAAAACATTTCATAAACTTAGAGCATTTAGGGAAAAAAGGTAGATAATATGGACAACACAATGTTAACTTATTGATCCAAAATCACTTTCATTGAGAAAAATAACCTAGAAATATACTGAAAAGCAAAAATGCAATGGGATTCCACAATTTTATTCCTGTCTAATTTTTCATAAAGTATTGAATGTGCTTTATGTAAGAAACAGTAAAAAAATCAACTAATATCTCAGGAAACAAAAATGTAATGTGGGATCCTGACATTCTACACCCCACAAAACAAAACCTGGGGAGAATTATCAAAAAGAGAATTATGGGCTCTAGCTACTAGAGGAGGCTGGCAGAGATGCAGCTTGACCCTAGGCAATATAGTGAGACCAGGAAAATAATTCTGAGCCAGATTCAAAAATTGAGAACAAAAAGAAAGATTTCATATTCTACCTGTACCAGTGCACCTTGGATAGCAGTTTTATAATCAAGCAAGCTAATTACTTAAATTCTTATACAGTGTTTACAATCACATTAAGAGTGAAGACTATATTGTCTTTAGGTTGCTTGATTACCTGTATCCCCAGACTCCATAACCCCATAACTTGTTACAGGCAATACACATATCCTGCAAAGACCACCCAAGGCCCAGGGCTGTTCCTTGGAGGAGGAAGAGAAAAAAGCCAGATGGGGGGAAAGAGGCAATGTCCAGATATTTACCCCACAACCAGTGAAGGAGACTGCCTTAACCAGTAGCAACTCTCACTCCCGCTTTCTGACTTTAGGCCACAAAAAGATGGGAGACAGGACCAGTTAAGATCCTATTCTACATGAAGGGAAGATTTTCAAAAACCCCACTGTCATGTTGAAAGGCAGGGCAGTACTCATAACTTGCTTACTTTAAGGATTCTTCCTGCAAACAGTTACACAGCTATGTTACACAATGTAGTGACAAATATAGGAGATTAACTTGGAAACCTTGGGACATCTTAAAAGTGAAATTGTTGAAAACCAAAAATGTTCCTTAAGAATAAGGAGGGAAGTAAGGAAAAAATAAAAACGCAGAGTAACCATAAATGGGGGAAATTCTTCAACAATGAAGCATTAGTCGGAGTAGGAAAATGAAGATAATACAAAATTACTTCTGTGAATAAACCCAAACCAGATAATACCTTGCCCTAGAGAGCAAAATAAAGGTCTGTGGTTTAAGCTGCCCTTTCTCTGCATCACAGGAAATGCTCTGGTACAGAACCAGTTCACTAGATAGGCCCAAGACCTTGAAACCCATGCGGCCTTACCAAGAGGTCCACCACATAGGAAACCTGAGTCTGGGTGGAAGACTACAAAATGGCAGAGGAGAAGAACAGCTTACAAAGAGACAAAGGATCATATGTGTGTGTGTATATATGTGTATGTGTGTGTGTATATATATATATATAATGTTTATATTTGAAACATTATCTTCATGTAAGCAGGAACAGATTTGTAAATGATATCAAACAAATGCTCAGACCCCTATTTTTGAAACTACTCAGAGACAATTCCAGAACAAGGTTTTTTAGGTTTTGTAGACTTGATTTTTTGCCAATTACAACTTGGCATCTCCAGACATATTGGTTATGGTAAGGAAAAAAAAAATCTACATAGAAAAAGGCCAGTGCAGAAAACTGCTACCCCAAAAAAACCCCAAAATCCATAAAGCAAATTTTTATGAAATGCTGGAAATCAAGAATGTAGTTACATGATTAATTAACTGTTCTCACCACATTTTTAGAGCTTGAGCTTCAAAAATGATCAAAAGTATTAATTTAAAAATCCAACGAAAGGCAATCACTGACCCCATGCACACTCCCAGACCAGCAGGAATTCTCCCAACTTTTCTGATTCTCTTTTATTGACTTCAAGCAAACACGACTTGCACCTTTGAGTTCCTAGATGCCCAGGAGGGTCCGGCATCTGGCACAACCCTAAACTTAATCAGAAACCTCCATCCCTCTCCCCTTACCCACATTTGTTTAAGGAACGCATCTAAGTAGTGGGTCACAATAAAATACCCAGAGATTTATAAGGATAACAGATTTTTAATGGTGATACTTACGTTAAATTATCAAACCTGGAAATCAGAAGCTACGAAGAAGAATTAAGTGGTTACAAAATCCACTTTGAAAATGGAGAATTAGATTGGGCACAATATAACCAAGGTAGAAACTCTAAAAACAAAAAGGTCAGCCTGTCCAGAGAGCTGGAAAACAAATATTTAAGTCTCTACCAGTGAGGGAGGATGCCTGAGACAGCACTATGAGTCCTGGGGTGGCTGCGTCTTCTTCAGCCTTGAGAATCTCCCTCATTCCCCAGCTCTCAGTCCCCCCCCCACTACTGCAGAAGACAGTCTAGTGTGCAGGGCGGCTGCTAACCAACAGAGGCAGAGACGGTACTAATTCCTGGCCTCTAACTTCTTGTCCCTTCTGTGCGGCACAGTGGGAAGGGGGCAGCTGCAAGCTGCTGGGAGGAGCCTGTGCCAACACATCTCTTCTCCTCCCCGCCCCCACCCCTCCCCCGAAGCACATCAGGGCGGAGCAGCTGCTGCAGCAGCCAGGTAAAGGGGATGGCGGCCAATCTCTTCAGCCAGAGGCCGTACAAACCCCCCCCCCCCCCCGCCCACAGCACCATGGACGACAGTGGAGGCCGTCACTCCTGCGGCATCTGCGCACCCTGCACCAGTACCCACTGCAGCACTTTTGCAGAGGGGACAGCCGCCTACCCGTGCCGCCAGCCTCCCCTCCTCACCAACCACCGCACTTTGGTGAAGGTGTGGCTGAAATTCCAGCGCAGCGGAACCTGAGCAGATACAGGCGAGCCGCCCCCGGCCCCCCTGCGGCACTGTGGGGAGGGGGCGGCCACCCACCCTGTCGCGCCTGCGCAGACCAGGGCCTCTGCAGCGGCGCCATCTTTGCGGAGCTGCACAATGGTGGCGACATGACCTGACGACCCCCTGCTCTCCCGAGAGCCTTCCAGGATCTAGTTCCAAACACAGGGAAGAACAATGAAAAAAGAGTGTCCCTCCGGCATCGCCTAGCACATCAGTCAGAAGATCCTAAGGGCCAGGCCCGCACATCACTTCTGATCTCCTGTGCCACGGCTCTCAAAGCAAGCCATGATTAAAGCCACAAAGTACGCAATGAACCCAAACATGTCTACCGCCACGGCTTCACCATAAGGGTTGCGCAGCTTTAAAAAATAAAAAGACACCATGGCCGTAATACGCCAACTGGAGGACCACTGCGGGTCACAGGAAAACAAGCGTCCCGTCGCTTCCTCACACAAAGGCTGCGGACTGCACCACGGCCCTCCCCCCACCCCCCACTGCGATCCTCCGCTCTCCCCCAGACACCCAACAGCCCCCCCTCCGCCCGTCAAGCCCACCAGGACCCAGCCCTCCCACCAGCCTCTCACAGCCGCTGCAGCCACTGCAGACATCCGACGGCCCACCAACGCCAGGCTCCCCCGATATGCCCTCCCACCACCGTGGTCACCCCAAGACAACCCCCCACCAGCCATGTTGACGTGTCTCCGGACCCCTCCAGAGCCTCTGCGGCCACTGCGACGAATCACCCCACGGTCCCTCACCATGCCCTCGCCCCACCACAAGGCGATCACCCCACAGACCGTCCTCCACCGCAGGTTCACCAGCACCGAGTGGCCTTGAGGTGCCCTGCCCCGCCGGGCCACGGCCACCCTGCTCGTCAAGCCTCGGCTGCCGCAGTCGCCCTGCATGCCCCACCGCCGCCTCGCCTCAAAGTCCTCTGCCTGCGAGTCACCTCACCACCTCAGATTCCGAGGACAAAAGTGCACCCGCAAAGGACCTCTCACAACACAACAGGGAAGGACGGAAGGACAGGCACCACCGGAGCAGGACGGCAGAGTTCTGCCTCCAAACGGGCCGGAACAAGGTTCTCCGGAACAAAGGGCTTTAGGCCCAGAATTCCCAGTTTATGCAATACTCCAAGTTCTAAAAACCCAGAACATCCGATGGACAAAACTGACCGTTCCCAAGATGTCTCTTGAGAGAACCCATCAGCAAGACTCACCTTGCTCGCTCCATCGCGTCACTGCCTGCTCCTCAGGCCGAGGCGTCGGGCATCTCCCTCCGCGGCTCCAATCTGCGCAAGACTTGCTGCCGCAGCGGCAAACTCAGCGCATGTCCCTGCGGCACATGCGCACCAGCCCGCCCTCTGCCGCGCATGCGTGTTTGTTTGCCGCAGTGCGGGGCACGCAGCAGCCTCTCCGACAGGAATGACCTGGGGGGGAGGGTACTACCGAACCCCTAGCGTCCACAGCTCAGTGGCATGTAGAGGGGGACTCCTGAAACCACCAGCAAAATGGGATCAAGGGACGCATCTATCTATTTTTAAATATGTGTAAAATATTCAGGAAATAATTCCTGCCACCACAAGAAATTCTTGCAGACACCACTGGCCAAACAATCCTGATTGACATTCATTCTCCGATCTTCTTATACGTGGTACAAAGAAAAACTGGTTTGGGAAAGTTGTATTGACCAAAGCCATAGTCGACCCAAATACGCCACACTTGAAACCCTTTCAAAAGAAAATATCTCAAAAAAAAAAAAAAAAAAAAAAGATTGCTGCGTTGTTCAAATATCATGGGGTTTGTTTCCCCTTTTTTCTGCTTCTACATTTTGATGGAGGGCACAGTGAACTGAAAATTATTCCCTCCAAAACCATAATGTAATTACGATCTCCAATACAGAATGGACAGATCTTTCAGTTTGGAAAACTGGCTGTTCACTTCTTACAAAACAAAAATATGAACTTCGATTCCTACCTAAAATCTAAATATAAGAGCGCTTCAGCCGGGCTCGGTGGCTCAGCCTGTAATCCCAGCGCTTTGGGAGGCTGAGGTGAGTGGATTGCCTGAGCCCACGGGTTCGAGACTCGCCTGGGCAACTTGGCGAGACCTCATCTCTACAATAAATCAAAAATTAGCCAGGCATGGTGGCGCATGACTGTAATTCCGGCTACTTGGAAGACTGAGGCGGAAGGATCGCCGGAGCCCAGCAGGTCAAGGCTGTGGTGGCCGGGAGCGGCCACTGCACTCCAGTCTGGGTGACAGAGTGAGACTCCAACTCAAAAAAAAAAAAAAAAGAGCGTTTCTTTGCCTATTAGATTTGGATACACTTAAATTTTAATTGATAATCGATAGCTGGAATGGGGAAAAATAAGCACTTTACTACAATAGTAATGAAGATGTAAATATATGATTTTTGACCTAATGCTATTATTTCTGCAGATGTAACAGAAGCATTGGTAACTCCAAAATGTAGACATTTCTGTAGCTGGGAAAAAGACAGTGCTGAGGATAGGAAGCTAAGGACATAATCCTGAGCTGCATTTGTTTTTACATAACTTTGCCCTTTCTCAATTGTCCATTATCAAAGAACTGAGGGATGGATGTAGACTAAATCTTAAAAACCCCTTACCACCCACTGAGCAACTGGAGTATCCAACAATCCTGTATTTCAGCAGGTGCACCTAGGCATATCAATACCAGTTTCATCATAAATAAATTTTCAAAACTACATAATATGCCTTGAAGAAAACAGATAGGCTTAATTAAATAAATGAAAGGACATTATATAAATGTACTTTCTATTTGCACATTGAAAAAATTATGAATGAATACATACCACTATAGTGAAGAAAACTATGTCTTTGGACACCAATTCTTTTGATTCAAATTCTAACTTTGCTACTTACAGCAATGCTATCTGAGTAAGTTACTTAACTTTCTGGTTGCTTGTTTGTTTGCTTTTTTGAGTTGGAGTCTCATTCTTTGTTGCTCAGGCTGGAGTGCAGTGGCACGCTCATGGGCACCACAGCCTCGACCTGCTGGGCTTAGGCGATCCTTCCGCCTCAGCCTTCCAAGTAGCTTCAACTAGAGACACACAACACCACGACCGTCAAGTTTTTTGTGATTTATTGTAGAGACGAGGTCTCACCAAATTGCCCAGGCTGTTCTTGAACCCCCGGGCTCAGGCAATCCTCTCACCTTGGCCTCCCAAAGTGCTGGAATTACAGGCTGAGTCACCACGCCTGGTCACTTAACTTTCAGTGTAGTATTTTCCTAATCTGTTAATGAACAAAGATAGTACCTTTTTTACATAAAGGCTTGACAATCAAATGAGTTAATATACATATTTAGAACTAAAAACTAAAAGCATTGTATACAAGTTGTCACTTAGAACTGCACCAAAAGTTTACAGTGGAATTTCCTCTAGGAGATGGAATTGGATATACATATTTTGTTCTAATTGTTAATGTTAACTAATGTCCATATCTTATTATACTTCTTCAGTTTTTCTTAATGTCCTTTTTCCATTGCTGATATCTCACCTTACATACCACAAACATTACAGTCATGTTTGTTTAGCTTTCTCTTGGCTGTCACATTTGAGTTTGTTTTGTTTTTTCCTTTGTACAGAGCTTTGTACTTTTTGCAATAAGCATAAGCTACTTTTACAACTAAAACATAAGTATTATTAAAATAAAATTATATTTAATTCTCAAATCTAATGTATTTGATTATGCAGCTTCCATCTTTTCTGGTCTGTTTTCTTTTCAAACTCTGACTGTTCCCCTCATCATTTCCTGCTTGTTCTACTGCATTAAGAAATTGGCTTTAAGTTTCAAAAAGGCATGACAGGCCTTAATAGAAAATCCAGAGAGATTTGCCATTTGGCTCACTTGTCTCCTTAAAGAGCATACTTTGTGTCAATTAATAGGCTTGCTTCAACACATCCTTCAACTGGGGAGTGAAGATACAGAAAAGAAGACTTTACCAGTAAACTCTACTGTGAGTAGTCTAGTAGACCCTTCTATGTCTCCCAACCATTCCATTTTTTCCAAAGTCTACACTTATCCCCAAGCCAAACATTTAAGGATATGAGCTTAAAGAACACTAACCCTGGCATAAAACTATTCGATATAGAATAGACAGTGGAGACAGCAAAAACTAATCAGAACCTCTGCATCTCACCAGGCACAAAAATTAACTGAAAATGCATCAATATACAAATGCAAGAGTTTAAAACAGAAATCACTTAGAAGAAAATATGAATACATATACATCTATGTGACCTTGGATTAGGCAACGGCTTTTTAGATATGACAAGTAAAACACAAGCAACCAAAAAATGATGAGTAAGGTGAACTATGTCATAGTTAAAATACTTCCAAAAATAAAGCTGATAAGAGTGTACTACCTAGAAAGTATAAAGAAGTCTTACAGCTCAACAATAAATTTTTTTAAATGGGAAAAGGATTTAAATAGAATTATTTATTTGTTTGTTTGTTTATTTATTTACTGAGTTGTAGTCTCACTCTGTTGCCCAGGCAGGAGTGCAGTAGCACACTCACAGCCACCACAACCTTGACTTGCTGGGCTCAGATGATCCTTTTGCCTCAACCTTCCAAACAGCTGGAACTACAGGTGCACACCACCATGCCCAGCTTATTTATTTATTTGTTTGTTTATTATGGAGACAAGGTCTCCCCAAGTTGCCCAGGCTGGTCTCCAACCCCTGTGCTAACCCCTGTGCTCAGACAATACTTTCACCTTAGCCTCCCAAAGTGCTGGAATTACATTCTTGAGCCTGGCCTAAATAGGTAATTTTCAAATGCAAACAGAAAATCAGCACACGAAAAGATATTCACCATCATTAGTCATTAGGGTTATACAAATGAAAAGCACAATGAGAAGCCACTTATGGCTATAATCAAAAAGACAATAACAGATGTTGTGGTGGAAATGGAAAAACTGAAACCCTGTACCCTGCATATAGAAATGTAAACCACTGCCCCTCTGGAAGAGTTTAGCAATGCCTAAAAATGTTAACTATGAAGTTACCATATAACCTACAATTCTACTCCTAAGTATACAACTAGAGAAATGAAAACATATCCATGTAAAAACACATGTATACATTTTCATAGCAGACTTATTCATAATAGTCAAAAAGTGGAAACAACTCAAATGTTCATCAACTGATAAATGGATAAACTATGATGTTGTATTTCTATACAATGGAGTATCACTCTTCTGTAGAAAGGAATGATGTGCTGATTCATGCTATACATAAATGAAACCTGAAACAGTTATGCTAAGTGAAAGAAGCCAGACATAAAGGTCACATATTATTACTATTTATATACAGTTTTTATTTTTATTTATTTATTTTTATTTTTATTTTTTGAGTTGGAATCTCACTCTGTCACCCAGACTGAAGTGCAATGGCCACTCCCAGCCACTGCAGCCTCAACCTGTTGGGCTCCGGCGATCCTTCCGCCTCAGCCTTCCAAGTAGCTGGAACTACAGGCACGTGCTAATTCTTGATTTATTGTAGAGATGAGGTCTTACCAAGTTGCCCAGGCGGGTCTCGTACCCGTGGGCTCAGGCAATCCACTCACCTCAGCTTCCCAAAGCGCTGGGATTACAGGCTGAGCCACCAAGCCCAGTTTACAATTTTTATAATAGATAAAGCCATACAGAAAGAAAGCCGATTAGTGATTTTCAGAGGAAGAAGGATGAGCAAATGGGGAGTGATTCCTAATGGTCTTGAGGCTTCTTTCTGGAATGATGACCGTATTCTATAATTAGACAATAGGGCTGATTAGAAATTATGACTATACAAAAAGCACTGAATTGTGTGCTATAAAAGGGTAAACTTTATGCAAATTATAAATCAGTTTTTTAAAAACCTAATTCATCAGCCTGTAATCCCGCGCCTTTGGGAGGCTGAGGTGAGTGGATTGCCTGAGCCCACGGGTTTGAGACCCGCCTGGGCAGCGAGAGTTCATCTCTACAATAAATCAAAAAATCAGCCGGGCGT